CATATCTACTTACAGAATCAACTGTCTCAGTCTCTACCATAAAAAGCAACAATATTTGTTGGTGTGTAATGTTTGTGATCCTCTATTCTTACTATCATTCTTGTGTATTTGTGTGTGTGTTTATGTGTTTGTGTTTGATATAGAGACAGAGGAGATGATGGTTTAAAAAAATAACCTTCGAAATTAATCTGGAGTGAGTGAGCGAGTGAGTGAGTGAGTGAGTGAGTGAGTGAGTGAGTGAGTGAGTGAGTGAGTGAGTGAGTGAGTGAGTGAGTGAGTGAGTGAGTGAGTGAGTGAGTGAGTGAGTGAGTGAGTGAGTGAGTGAGTGAGTGAGTGAGTGAGTGAGTGAGTGAGTGAGTGAGTGAGTGAGTGAGTGAGTGAGTGAGTGAGTGAGTGAGTGAGTGAGTGAGTGAGTGAGTGAGTGAGTGAGTGAGTGTGAGTGTGTGTGTGTGTGTGTGTGTGTGTGTCTGTCCATGCACTCACGCTCTGTCTGATTGGCCATGTACATGGGCCGACAGCCCATCTGTGTTGGCTTGTCTATGGGGTCGATGAGGGAAAAGGGGGTCTGGATGCGTGTGTGCGCGTGTACAAACGCCAAAGCCCTGTCAGAGAGTAATGAGAGAGCGGGACTGTGGGAGAGTGTGTTTGGGAAACAGAGAGAGGGACTAGGTCATGTAAGGTGAAATCATTGCCTGTGCATGTTACTTCATGATGAAGGGAACGCTCCCCTCCCTCTTTTTCTCCCTCGGTCCTTCGTTCTTTCGTTCTGGACGTCTTCCCAGGAAACACTGCCGTTGTCTCCACTCTCCCAAAGTCCCACAGCCAAAGACTACCCCTGCCCAGTCCCAAAGCAGGCTGGGAAAAAATCTGCCAATTGCACCACTGCGGTATTTCAGCCCTTTACGGTCTTAGCAAGTCTGGCTCCACAGAAAGAGGGGGATTTGAAACAGAAAAGGGAAAAGGTCTGGAGATGAGGGTCGAGAGTCCAGTTTAATGAGACATTTCCCATTTCCTTGTTGCTCCACTGTTGGTGTTTATGTCGAATTATCAATGACTCACGTTGTTTTCTTTCCTTGTTTCCTTCCTCTGTCTTTCCAAGAAGGTGATGCTGCCAACCGGAGCTCCTTTCCGATGGTTTCCGTAGGGCAGCTGGACCCTCCCCCCATGACTTCCATCCCATAATGAAGGACTCCCGATGGACGGTGACGCCACTCCCACTCGGAAAGCTGTGGGGCTTGTAAACACTGGGTGCAAACAAACAACTAAAACAAACGAAGAGCAGAATGAAAGCACTATTTGAGAATGAACATGTCCTGAACCAAAAATAAACAGTGAATGGCGGAATGTCATTCCGTTTTTCTTTTTTCCTGTGTTCCATTTCGGAACCATCTGAGTTCTACTTCGGAATCTTGCCCTTTATTGGATGCTCTGGAACTATTTGCCGCCAAATGGAAAACGGACAATCATTTTTATTTGTGTGTTTAGTGGTTTTGTTTGTCCATGTGTGGAGAAATGCCGTAATTTCGTTTAGAGAATGTAATCCCAAGGCTCTGTTTTAAAGCTTGTGATAATTAAGGAGCACTATTGTAATTTAGCACAGTGGTTCTTACTGACTGCCTCAATGTTACGATTTTTTTTGTTTGTTTTTTGATTTGTCATTCAGTGTTCAATTTGCTCAATATTTGATACGAAGACGACCGTGAAAAACGCTCCAATGTAGCATCCCTTACTTCAAACATGCTTGAAAGGTCCTTTTGGGTTTGTCGTTCTGGTTGTTTGTTTTTAAATGCTGTAGGCCTGCTGGGATTGGAGGGAAGGTGAAGCTGATGGAACTACACTATGTAGACCAGATGATGGTGTATTTGTGTAACAGCTATGCGTAGGACTTGCCTCCTTTTTCTTGTAGCCTTATGGGATTGGTCAAATGGAAGACATGGTCCTTAGCAGACCTGGGCCTCCAAAATTCAGGAAATTATTGATGTGTTATGATAATATTTCTATGATTAGGATGTTTTATTGCTGAATTACCCCAAGACCTGAGTTCCAGTATTCCTTTAAGTCCTTTTCACATGGTTTACGCCATTGAACTCTAGTGTGAAGTGGCAAGCTTCAATCTATGAAACTCAAAGTTTCAACTTTAACCCCATTTGTTGTTTAGATTTCATAATATAGACAAGGATTACCAGACAATTCACTATTGCCACACATTGAGTTGTACGACACAACTTCTATCTAAAGCATTTTGCGAAAAGTTTCAAGAACTCTAGTTTGACAAGCGATTTTCTTTCTGTTTTAAGCTCACACACATGTGAGCTCTTTCATTTTCATTGTGAATGGTTCTCTGGTTTCTTTCTTCCCAGCAACCGTGTAAAATCACCTTTCTGTAATGGTATCTTTTCATGTAAGCGTCAAAGCATAAGACGCTTGTGTTGAGACATGGATCGAATCCTTGATGCTATTCATGTGAAAGGGGCTTAAGGCCATCCACATAACACGGACACCATGTTGGATAAGTGACTTTCTTTTAGCTGTAATTGTCATTTTAATGTTGTTGTTTTTTTCTTCTTCTTCATGCTGAAATCCTACTGAACAGGTTCGCCCCAGTTTAAATACTGATCTAGATTGAGTGAAATGCACAGTACCAAAATTATTTCAAGACAAAATCCAACAGCACGCCATTTCCATGCCATATGGGGCCAAATTTATCGGTCTGCGTAAATGAATGCATGTATTTGTGTCCAAAGCCAACCATTCTGAGGTCTTGGCAGTCCTCAATTTAATAAACCAAGGTGCAAACCAAACATTTCTATAGTTGTTGTTGAAATGTCATATTCTATAGCATTTGCATGGTGACAACCACTGTAAATGAACAATTATTATACTTGTATGATGTTAAGCTCTTTAAAACATGCTTATTTGATGGTTCACAAAGAAAGTCATGGACAGAGTAAGTCATGTGAGGTGAAATCAATGAGCACTCATAATTTTCCTCTGACTGAACCTTGTGCAAGAGTGAGAGTGAGTGTATGTGTGTTTGTTTGTTTGTGTTTGTTGTGGGTGGGTTAAACCAGTGAACTGAGCGTGATATTTTTGTCCATAGTGTAGGAGTGAATGAGAGTGTGAAAGCTTCTTTTCTCTCTCTCTCTCTCTCTCTCTCTCTCTCTCTCTCTCTCTCTCCCTCTCTCTCTTGCCTCCTCTCTCTCTCTCTCTCTCTCTCTCTCTCTCTCTCTCTCTCTCTCTCTCTCTCTCTCTCTCTCTCTCTCTCTCTCTCTCTCTCTCTCTCTCTCTCTCTCTCTCTCTCTCTCTCTCTCTCTCTCTCTCTCTCTCTCTCTCTCTCTCTCTCTGCAGGCCGCATCTGTCTGTCTCACTCCTCGTGGCCATCAATCCGATGAGAGCGAGCGAGCGAGCCAGTGGGCCGCATGGGGAGAGCAAACGCAGTGTGTGGGGGTTGCGTAGAGAAGGGGCCGAGCGTGTTTTGTTCTCCTCCAGGTGCACGGCCATCAGAAACGATTTGAACACCGCCCTGCCCCACATGCGACGTCGAATCTTTATATCCGAGCAAATCAGATTCGTTAGCATGCAATTTAGGGTGCGTGTGCACGTATGAAATGATGGCCCACGATCACAGAGTGGCTGAGGGACGCTGCAAAGGCTCCTTCAGTCTTATCAACATAACCCAGACCCTTTTGTGCTCACGTCTGCAGCGCTGTCCAAAACACACACACATTTGCAGCTAGGGCGCTTGCTCTGGCCTCTCACTCAAGCGACAGGGCGCGTGTAGAGAGAGCGCAGTAACCAGGGCGATGGTTGATAAGCTATTCGCTCCCCCACGGTTCATTCGTTCCAGGGGAACAGGAGCACGGCGCTACTATGGGAACGGCAGAGCGAGATGTTGCGCTATAATTGGTGCAGTGCTGCGAGCAGCATAGCGGCACTTCCAGGTGCGCGTGTCAGCGCGCAGAAGCCACGATATTACACTCCCACTGGGAGACGGCGGAAAAGCACAACGGGT